AAGATGGTTTTTGGCAACCACCCCCTTGTCTTCCTCTTTTCCTCTGTAAACCTTAATAAATCCCCTTTGCCCTAAATGCCTCCCTTTTCCCTTAAAAGGTAGTAATATGCATTTAAAGTAAACATATTCTTTTTTTTAAAACAACTTTATAGAGGTACAATTTATATACCACAAATTCACCCATTTTAAGTGTGCAATTCAATGCTTTTAAGTAAATTCACCAAGTTGCGCAACCCTCACCATAAGCCAGTTTTAGAACATTTCCGCCACCACACTGTGATCCCTCATAGCTTTAGAAGTGAATTCCCGTTCCCACTCCCATCCCCTGGCAGCCGTTAATCCACTTTCTGCCTCTGGATTTGCCTTTTCTGTGCTTTTCAAATAGATGAAATCGTACAATGGGTGGTCGTTGGCATCTGGCTTCTTTCGCTCGGCATGCTGTTTCTGAGGTCCGTCTGTATTGTGGCATGGATCAGCATTTCTTTCCATTGTGTTGCTGACTGGGACTCTGTTGTGTGGATGTACATCACATTTTGTGTATCCATTCCCCAGTTGCTGGACATTGGGTTGTTTTTACTTTTCAGCTAATGTGAGTAATGCTGCTATGAACATTTGTGTGCAAATCTTTGTACAGACATATTAAACCTCTTATTCTTGATAATTAATAAAATTATGTTTCTAGTTCTTAATTCAAAAAGCAGCTGAGTTGAACATTTTATAACCCTAGTGCTTTGCCTCTCAAAAACCTCTCCAAAGCTAAACTGGCTCTGTTTTTACTTCCATAGGACTCTCAGTTGAGTATTTTTCTCTGGGTCACTGGCCCTTGGTAGAAAGGAGGCTCCCTACTTGTTAGGAAAATGTTCCTAACTCCTGCTTTCAAAAGACAAAAAGAGAGGCAGCCCTGGTGGCCTAGTGGTTAAAGTTCAGCACACTCTGCTTCAGCAGCCCAGGTTCAGCTCCCAGGCGCCGAACCACACCACTCGTCTGTCAGTAGCCATGCTATGGCAGTGGCTCACATAGAAGAACTAGAAGGACCTACAACTAGGATATACAACTACGTACTGGGGCTTTTTGGGGGGAAAAAGAAGGAAAAAAAGGAGGAAGACTGGCAACAGATGCTAGCTTAGGGCAAATCTTCCCCTGCAAAAAACAAAAACACAAAAAACCCAAAACATGTATCATTCAAGTTAAGGGGCATTGATTTCACACATTCCTTGTGTCCAGACCTGTGTTGGGTGCTAAGGAAGCCAACTGAGATGAGACCTGGACCCCTGAGACCTGAGCTTTGGGGAAGCAAAGGGCCAGGGAACTATTCTCATGCTATACACTCAGCAGTCAGTAATGAAAGGAAGTCTTTTAAGTTATTCTCTCTTGTCCTGCCTTATTTGATAAAGGAAAATTATTCTTAAGAATACTAGGAGCTGGCCTGGTGGCATAGTGGGTAAGTTCGTGCACTCCACTTCAGTGGCCTGGGCTTCGCAGGTTCAGATCCTGGGTGCAGACGTAGCACCACTCATCAAGGCATGCTGTGGTGGCATCCCACATAAAATAGAGGAAGACTGGCACAGATGTTAGCTCAGCCTCAATCTTCCTCAAGCAAAAAGAGGAAGATTGGCAACAGATGTTAGTTCAGGGCCAATCTTCCTCACAAAAAAAAAGAATACTATTGAAGTCCCTACCCATTTTTTTTCCAACTAAAAGAATTTTAGCTCGTGCAAGGAAGTTAGTACTAGTCAGAGTTTCAGGCCTTTTCCAAACAGAGGTTACGTGCACACCCCTTTCTAAAGGACAGCAGCTGGAAGCCCTGTGGGCTGCCCTGCAGGTCAGCCTCCCACCCTTTGTAGGGCTTTCTTCTGAGCAGTCTCAGTTTGGATATGTCCAGGGCCTAGGAGCACACAGCTTCAGGAGGTGGCCTATTTTATTAGTCAGCTGGTTTGTTACACAGTTTTTTCTTATTTCGGACCAGGCATTTAACTTCCTATTAATTTTTTCCGTTAATCGCATGTCCATCTGCCTCTTGCACATGGTACCTTTTACATTTTGAAGTAATTAACCCTCTTTCCTTTCCCAAGGTAATTTCTGCTAGTTCAGGGGTTCTTATAACCGACTCTGATCCCTAGGTGGGGTTTAATCTATTTATAGTGGAGTAGTTGGGAGGAAACTATTAATGTGGCCAAATACTGTTTGATTGGTTGGTTGGTTGGTTGCCTGGCTGGCTGGTTGGTTGGTCGGTTGGTTTGAAAAACTGCCGACACCCTCTTGGCTCATGTCAAGCTTGTGGTTCACCAAAAACTCCAAATCTCTTGGATTCATAAACTGAGTCATCTCCATTCTGTACTGGAGTCATTTTGGTGTTGCTGAATCATATATAACTTTACATTTAGCCTTCTTAAATTTGATCTTACTGGGGTTTTTTTTTTATTGTGATAAAATTTACATTACAAAATTTACCATTTTAACCATTTTTAAGCGTATGGTTCCATTGCACTCAGTACATTCCCATTGTTGTGCAACCATCACTGCCATCTGTCTCCAAAACATTTTTCATTTTCCCAAACTGAAACTCTATACCCATTAAACAATTATTCCCTGTTTCGTCCCACCACTAGCCCCTGGCACCCTTCTGTTTCCACTTTCTGTCTCTCTGAATTTGGCGACTCTGGGTACCGCTTGAGTGGAGTTATACAGTATTTGTCCTTTTGTGAAGGGCTTATTTCACTTAGCAAATTGTGTTCAAGGTTCATCCATGTGAAAGCATATGTCAGAATTTCCTTTTTAAGGCTGAATAATATTCCATTGTAAGTATATACCACATTTTGTTTATTGATTCAACTGTTGATGGGCATTTGGGTTGTTTCCACCTTTTGGCTATTGGGAATAATGCTGCTATGAACATGAGTGTACAAAATATCTGTTCGAGGCTTTTAACTCATTACATTCTGCCCATTTTGTGTCATTGGATAATTATCTGTAAATCACATAAGCTTGATCTCTGACTCTACTCAAATCCCTTAATAAAAATGTTGCACTTTCTGTTGATCTGAAGATACCATTTATACAAAATCGTCATTTCCCACATCTTCAGGCTTTTGTAAGTTATGCCATGGTCTTCACAGCTGGACTCAGAGCAGACTGCTTTCACATTCAGCCTGAGTCTAAGTTTATTCTAGTTCTTTTGGTTCAAGTCTAACTTGGGGGGCTGGGGTCAGGGCGTGTGAGTCAAATCACCTCTAGGCTGGATTAAAGTGGAAGGTTTGGGGCGTTTTGTTTGTTTTTTTATTTGTCTTTTTGTAGGCCACTGAGACTACACAGAAACTAATATCAGGTATCAAGAAGCAGGAAATGTAGTCTTAGAGTGACCTGATTAGGACTGAATTCGTTTGCTCCACAAATATTTTTTCATCTCCTACTTGTCAAAAACACATAGTGCTTTGGGAATCAAAAGATGAAAAAGACACATTCCTTGCTTTTAAGACGATTGCAATGCAAAATATTAGAGGAACTTCTGCTGTAACCCAGAGATCTTTATGCAAGGCTTCAACCCATGGCTGTAAAAACCTATCTCCTTAAGATGAGGAGGATTACAAAATACATCAGAAAGCAAAGTGCGCTCTGAAGTGATGTTTTAGTCTCGATGGGTTTTAAGCAAGGATTTGGGGACAGACTGAAAAATGAAACATGAAAGCTTTAGAGGTGTCTGGCTTTTCCTTTACTTGGGCTAATCTCAGAGCACCAGGAAAACAAAAAGTCCTCTTGCTCTTGACAGTATCCAATTCTTATTATTTTTAGAGAATGGTAACTATGCATTTATGAATTTCTTTGTCAGGGCAATTTAGTTAATAGGTATGTAAATGACTACTTATTTCATTGTGTAGGTGGATCGCTTCGTGTACACTTTCTGAGGAAGAGTGTAAGTGCTAAAAACTCTTAACGCTGCAAATGCAAAGAAGCAGAAGTTAGTTAGAATGCCATACCCCTCTTGTCTTAGGTGTTAGGAATGAGACAGGGAAGACCCATCTTGTAATGGAAGTTTGTTCGCTCAGTGGAATTTCTCATTCACATCCAATTTGAACTGCCCTTTTCCGATGCAGGAAAACCTAAGTGAATTGGGCTGCAAGGTTGTTTCTTATTATTGGTTTTCAAGCACCAAGGATCATTATAAACCTAGCTGGGGTGGCGTGGGGGAGGTGCTGATAGTTAATATCACAGTAATAAGTTTTCATGCAAGATTTGCAGTCTAAGGCATCTAGTGAAAACATCCCCTAAGAAAACGCCTAAGGCTTCTTTTAAAAGTTTGTTGTTTTTTTCAGCATGAAAACAACTTCAGAGGAGGCTGAGAATTCCACAGCTCTTCTGGCTTTAGTCACCTCCTGTGATCAGCACGGGAACTTCCATAATCCTTGAGTTAAAGCAGGCCGGCCCAGGAAGAAGTCACCAGGGGGAGAGAATAAATGGGCCCTCCTGGGGAATTAGCCTCATCTTCAATTGTGTTTTAATCATTACATTACCCTGCTTTGAAATTTCCTCAGATTCCTAGTTGTCACGCAAATCGAATTAAAATTCTTGCCAATGGGTCCAAGCCTTCCACTACTTTGCCCTTCTATGCTTCTTATCCAGCTTCTTTTGGCTCCCTCTGATATCACTTCACGGTCTCCACAAACAGGCTGGCGAACAAACACGCAGAAACTCACCGTGTCTTGTTTCTTCCTGTCGGTTTACAGCTCATAGAATTCCCCATCCCTGCCTCTTACTCATCAGTGACCTGATTCCTTCTCACCTGCCCCTTATCACTTGGCTCTATACAGTTGTCACAGGCATGTTCCTTTATGTGGCAAGCTCTGTCTGAGCTGTGCTATGGCTACTGAGGATAGAGACCAGGGGCTGTGTCGACTTCCTTCAACCTTCCAGCTCTGCAAGGGGCAGGGAGCTGGCTGCACATTGGGAGCGCTGCTTTGTTAAAATGCTTCACGGGCTTGCTTGTGCTTTTGTTTTTCCTTCAGGTGCAGAGTGAAGACAGTGTCCTCCTGTTTGTCATTGCCTGGACCATCACAGAAATTATCCGTTATTCCTTTTATACGTTCAGTCTGTTAAACCACCTGCCTTACCTCATCAAATGGGCCAGGTAAAGAAGGACATGCAATGAAAACTAAGTTTTGAAATGATCCATCACTGCATTGGCCCTTTATTGTCTAAATATTGCCTCCAAGTTCCTAAAAATAAAATTATACAAGACAGAGGTTGGGTAGAAATCTGGTCTGTAGATTTTATCTATAGATAAGGGACTCTACTTAACTCTCATTAATAGAAACACTGTCTTAAATTTTTTTTTAAAAGATTTTATTTTTTTCCTTTTTCTCCTCAAAGCCCCCTGGTACTTAGTTGTGGTTCCTTCTAGTTGTGGCATGTGGGATGCTGCCTCAGCATGTCTTGATGAGCAGTACCATGTCCGCACCCAGGATTCCAACCGACGATTCCCTGGGCCACCGCAGTGGAGCCCGCAAACTTAACCACTCGGCCACGGGGCCGGCCCCATATCTTAAATTTTTCGTACTTAAGTTATTTTTATTGGGTCAGTTCTTGTTAGTTAAATTATTTGATAGAGATTTGATGTAACATCCCCTTTTTGTCCATATCAAAATTTCCTGATGAGCTTCTGCCATTATGTTCGTTTTTTAGCCCATGTCCAATTCTCGTTCTCAATTTCACCAACAAGTTATGACTCTTAAATTAGTTTTTAATTAATGGCAACCGTTACATGGCAGTTTTAGCTTGTTCTCAGTTTTATTTTGCTTTACTTGTGTTATGAATTGGATAAAAGGCTGACAGTTCATCTGTTTATCTGAAGTAACCCATGAGACTGTTGCGAGCAGTTTTCTGAGTTGGGAAGGACTCTGGGGAGGAACAACAGAGCAAAAGGGGCGACACTGTCTTTGGGGCCCAAGTGCTTCATTTCATGGAAGGACAACGGTAGTTTCTAAATAATTTATGAGCTCAGTAATCAAATTGGAGCCATAAACCCCTTGTTTCCAACATTTCAAGTATGTGAACTCCTTCTGCCTTCCTTCCGTTCTTCCTTTTTTTGCAATAAACATTTTTATTAAGAAAAGGGAAGAATGGGAAAAACAGCAGTTATTAACCAGCCTGGGCAGGCATTGTGAAAGCCGTCCGCCCTGGTTAGAGGGAAAGGTTATTGACAAGCCCTGATTTTACTAGTGGAGAACATGCTTCTGTCTCTTGTTTCCCATGGCCCGTGGAAGATTTCTTCCTCCTCCACCGTCCTCCTTAGCATGGCTGAAGTGGGCAACAGGGAACACTCTTCCTTTCACTGTCACAGGTTTCTCAGCACAGTTCCTGGGCCTGGAAGTTGGTAGCCCAGTGCTCACTGTCAGCCCCAAACAGCCAGAAGCTTTTTAAAATCTGAGCTGATGGTTTCTTTAGAATACTTATACCTGGAAGAATGACTTCCAGTTAGTTCCGTAGGACGAACCTCTCTCTGAATTCTTTTTGAAACATAGAGAACTCCTTTTTAAGTGAAAAAAAATTGTGTGGATTCTCCCATGTGATAGTAATTATGGTTTTGAAAAATTACATAATGACCAAAAGCTACCGTGAATTGTTTAATGTTTCTTAAATAGCATATATCTCATTTTTTACAGTAGCGTGTACAGACATTTGAATAATTGTAGCAGTATCCTCATTGGATGCGCTGTTTTCTTTAGTCCACAGCCCGGGCTTGGCGTACATTGTAGGGATTCCTAGACGCAGGCTCCGACACCTTCCCCGACTCCCTGCAAACCCCAACCCCACTCGCACCCCACAGGCAAGACCCTTCGGTATAAACCATGACTCAGTGCCCCTACTTTACCAATATTTGGCATCACCTTAGTTATTTTAGGGAGCTATTTTGAAGAGTTGTTTAGTCAGACCAAATTTTGAGGCTGACCAAATATGTTTATTTTCTTTTAGAACATTCAGAAACATACCTGCTATAGACCCTTTTCAAAAACTGGCTTGAAAAACCTGAATTTAAGCAGTGGGTAAACAGGAAAATGTATAAACAGAGCTTTCTAAAAGACCAGTACTGATGAGAAGGGTGGAAGTGTGTCTTTCTGCTAAGGCTGGCTTTGAGCCCCAGTGTGAGTGTTCTGTTGTTTTAGGTACACGCTTTTCATTGTGCTGTACCCCATGGGAGTGTCGGGAGAGCTGCTCACCATCTACGCTGCCTTGCCCTTTGTCAGACAGGCCGGCCTGTACTCCATCAGTTTACCCAACAAGTACAACTTCTCCTTTGACTATTACGCATTCCTCATTCTGATAATGATCTCCTACATTCCACGTAAGTAAACACTTATGCATATATTTGTTTATGTCTTAAAACGTGGCTTCACAATAACTAGAGTTAAATGCCTTTGGTTGTTTTTCCACCATATCCAAGCAAATGTAAATCTAATTTATTGGGAACGCTTTAGTTTTTATTGAATGCTGACTGTCAGAGGGAATTTTCTCTGGTAGTAATTGAATAAAGATGAACCCTTCTCAATAGAGCTGCCAAAAGGCACCCTTCCCAGTGTGTGGGTTTGAAACACTGAATGCCAGATAGGTTCAGTGTCTGCTGGTGAAAGTATGGGGGAAAACAGCCATTAAAGCCCTTACCTTGACTTTTTCTGTCTCAAGAACTGCTTGTTTTGCTATCTGAAGAACATTGTAAAGAGATTTTTGCGTTTTTACTGTATCAAGATAGAGTTACTTCATTTTTAAGGAATCAGTAGTTAACCAGAAACAAATAACATAAAAATAGATTTTTTTCTGTATTTCTTATTTGGAAATAAGCATGAAAACCATCTGAAGAGGACATGGTGTTCTCTTCAGAATGGTTTCCAGTTATTTTAACAGTATTGCTACAGGTTAAATATATGGATAATCACATGTGCCTGTCAGCATCCCCAGAAAGAAAGAAGAGGCCTTGTTTGAGGCTTCTATGAAGTGAGTCCTGTTTGCTGAGGAAGAGTTGTTTAGTCCTTTTCTCAAATTCTAATGTTCAGTTGAAATCCTGTGAGTGATTTCCACATACCCGAAAGGATCTTGTTCTACCCAAGGATATATGAAGTTAATGTTTCTTCTCATTTAGCTATTTCCGTAGCCATTGTGGCTCTGAATCTAATTTTAGTCTATAAGATGCTGTATTCTGCCCTAAACCTCGGGTTAAATTCAGACCGGAGGAGTGGGTTTTCCTTCAGCCCACAGCGTGAACTGAATGAATCACCCTAACAATTGAAAACGACATGTTTGTGTGTCCCTCTGTGGAAAATTGTATTTCATGCATTGTGAGAAAAAAACTACATCCAGATTTCATGTGAATGTTTATCTTAGGGAAATTCTTAGACCCAGGTCTGCTTCATGATTCATTTTCCACTCTTTACGAATTATCAAGTCCTCCTCTTTGGTGCTGGAACCACAGTGGCTAAAGGCCATCTCTTTTCAGATGCAAAAGGTAGTTGATTTTTAAACAAAAGATAAATATGGAAGAGTCTAAAAATTTAAGTAATAAAAATTGTCACTGTTTTTCACCTTTCTAATTTTGTTCCCTCAGAGTTTCATTTTCCAGTCTCTAGAGCAACAATTCCTAGTCAGAGAATTGCCACACCCAGAGTAATATATAATATCCCAGGGGGTACCACAGGATTTATTTAAATTCAACATAAATTTTTGAATGAATAGGAGATAGATGCTGTGTTTGATAACTTGGAAGGGGGCAGGGAAGAGATCATGAAATCGAATCAATAGCGAGATGCTACCACATTGGCAGAAATCTGGGGCCCCTACCTCAGAGTCGCTGCAGGATTTCCAGTCTGTTGAAGAAGGAGGGGCTTCATTCCAGAGCAGCCTGGCTCTGTCTGCACCCCCTAGTCTATTTTACGCTCTAGTGGCAGCCAGTGCCCAGCCCTTTGGTTCTGCCTGCTGACTTCGTGATCTAGTTAAGGGGCACCCCTCCCTGGTGATAGGATTCTCGGGAAAACAAACCCAGTTCCGTGAGATGTTCCTTCTTGGCCTTAAGATTGAGAGAGAGAAGAGAAAAAACACAGCCCTCAGGGCCAGCTGTATTGCAGAGTATGGGGCAGACTCTCCTCTCAACAGAAGTCTGCTTTCTTCCCCTCCATTCCTTCCCCCTTCTTCCATCCTCAGCCTCCTTGTGGTAAGGACCTGGCCTAGTTAAAGTCTATATGATTTCTTTTTTAAGGCAACTTAACTCCTATAGACCAAGAAAAAGGTTTGATTCCAAGTAAAGATTAAAAGATTCCCTCCAAATCCCTGACTTCCCGCCCAGGCTCAAGATGGCAGCCCGGACCGTATCTCCTGCTGCAGATCATTTCTGTCTGCTGGCACTCACTGTGCCTCTGGCCTGAGCCAGTTGCCCTCCATGTTTTCAGTAGTTTCGGTTGTTAATATTGAGACCAGTTCGAACAGTTCATTGCAGCCAACTGCACATTTCCAACTTTCCAAAACTTTGTATTTATAAGAATAAAAGACAGAGTTAGGAGAGGTTGCTGTTGATAGGCAGTCTTCTTTACCAAATTTGGTTTTCTTCCTACAACTTAAGTTTATTTTCATCTTTAATGGGAAGCTGTTGAGATACCTGTCTTTATGAAGCAATACCCCTTCTTTATGGTCCTGACCTATTGCTGCATATGCAGCCCAAACTGTGGCCCGTGAGCTGTGGCCTCAGGGGTTTTCTCATATTGGGGTGCTTTGGAGTCGCTTGCAAAGTGCCCCTCTCCTGCTGTATGGCAGTTGCAGTATGTGCAGTATCTGCAGGCTCATTACACATCTGAGTCCTGTTTACATACCCCCCAAACTGGCAAAAGTTGGTTGTAGGCGTGGGGGTAAAAAAAAGAGTGAGAAATGAGAAGCATCGATGTAGGGTGAGGGCACCGAGATGCTGGGCACTCTCCACGTTGTCAGTAACCATAACCACACCTCTAGTTTTTAGAGAAACTGAGAAGAAACTTGCTGCAAGCAGAGCATCTCCAGTTGCTCTCAGCCTCCAGGTCCTCCTCTCCTAGAGAGAAAGTGAGCCCATCTTCTTAGAGGGACACGGGCCCAGGGACTCCCACAACCCCCACCCCAACACACCGGAGACAGACACACACACAGGCACAGCCACTGTCTCCATTCTGTGTCCTGAACTGGGAGAGCAGGAGGTAGAATTCTAAAGAGCCTATTGTCAGGTCGAAATTTTCTTAGGGGTTTTCTTCACTGTAGCTCAATGTAGTTAAAAATAGTAGCCATGCATCTGGAGTTGTTTCAGTCATGATAGTTGGGTTCAGTCTGAACATACGAGTAATTCAGATGGAGACAGCATCACCCAAGTTCTGGTCCCCAAGAAGTCACTACTAGAGGTATCGAGAACCTACAGCCTGGTACCTCCATTCTCCTGGCCTCCCACACACATTCCTTTCTCTTGGGCACTTAGAAACCTCTGAAGGATGTAAAGAAATGAAAGGCCACGTCTGCCTTCCATTTCTGACCTCTGACCCTTCCGGTAGCCAGCAGGCTGTTGCCTACAGGGATGAAGGCAGACCCCACCATCTTGCCTTAACTGCCTCTAAGGGCCTAATGAATGGCTTCTAGGTTGTCATCCTCCCTCAGACCCGCTGAACCAGCTGTGAGGCTGCAGCCACCTTAGATGGGGCAGTGTAATCACAAATGCAACCAGTGGAAACATCCTTAACGTACTTTGCCACCAAGTTTCCCTTTACTAAAGTATATCTATAGAAATTTGACTGGCCCCACATATGTAAATGCTTACAATTAGCATTCCTTATGGTTTAATTATATCTTTACTTCCAGTTTTTAGATTATAGAGCTTGTCAAATTTTCTGGCTTTCGTACTAAAATAGCTCTCTCCCTGTTGAATTATATGCACGAGCTGGGTCTTTTCTGTGAATAACTTCCTGCCTGCAAGTGGTGAGTGGGGTGGATGGCACCCTGTGCACCCCCAGCCTCCTCTGCAGCTTATCAGATCCGTGCCACACACCCACTGATGTCTTGGAGTACTTTGGGAAGATCGTTTGAAATTTGGCCAACTTGGAACCCATTTAAAAAGGAAGAAACTGTCAGGGGAGAGTTGGCAGCAGTAAAAATTACCTCCCCAGAGAGACAGGTTACTGTCTAAAAAATAGAGATGGGAGCTGTTGGGAAGGGAGGGAAGGAAGGAAGGAAGAAGATAGCACTCCACATCGTCTTACTGCAGGTTTTTACATGGCCATTGAGCCCCCAGTGTACAGTCACCTTGTGGAGACCAGGCGGCTTGAGTTGGCAACTCCCAGCAGGGACACTGTGGGCATTGAGGTGGGACAGTTCTTAGTGGTGGGGAACTGTCGCACACTGCACGTTTTGGCGTTCCTGGCCCCATGTGCTAAATGCCAGTCACCTGCCCCCTTCCCCCTAATTCCAAATACTCCCTAGGGAGGCAGTACCACCCTGTTCTTTTGAGATTCAGTACTTTTTAAAGTAATCTGTGAAATGACCAAGAACAGACTCTCCGGTGCCTAAGATGCTGGCTTCCTTTTCACAAGACTTCTACACCCAAACCTGGTGTGGCTGTGTCAGCAGTGTCTCAGCACTCCTCCTTCCTCAGTCTCCCCATTCCAAGAACAGCCTTTCTCAGGAAGTACATTTGGGAGATCTGCCCAGGTGACAGAGCAGTGACCGGGCTAGACTAAGTCAGGAGCCCAGAGCCCAGTGCTAACTTTGTCAGTAATTTGCTGTGAAACCCCTGGCAAGTCGCCTACCCTCTCTAGGGCCTGAATTCCTCCTCTGAACAGGAATAATAACTCCATCACTAGAATTCTTCACCTGGTTCTTGTGAAATCAGAGAATAAATGTGAAGATAATATGAGGAAGTGTAAAGAGTATTATTTGGCAGCTCTGTGGCATCTTGACTGGTAAGGATAGTGACAATAGGGTCTGTCATTCCATTCCACACCACCCTTCCCCCTCGGCTACAGCGGGGAAAAGGTAAGTCTCTGCGTTTGCCCTCCCTTCCCAGCCCGCCTTGGTGCCTGCCTTATTGCTGGATGGGAAGGGAGAGTCCGAGAGCACCTGCAGTCCAATGCCTTAAACAGAACGCGCAAGTTTAAATGACCTCCTTAACCACTTCTTTCTTTTCTTTCCAGTTTTTCCCCAGTTATACTTCCACATGATACACCAGAGAAGAAAGGTCCTTTCTCATACTGAAGAACACAAGAAATTTGAATAGTTCCTGCTTCCTGCACCCCTCAAAAAAAAAAACCTTTTCAATGACAAAAAATGCTGCAGACTTTTTGAGTTCCTAATACATTTCATAGAAAATAAGTAAGAACTGTTTTTAAAATATTTAAAAAATAAAAATAAAACCCAAAATTCAGTATCACATGGGCCTAGGATTTTATTTAAAAAAAAAAAGCTGTTACATGAAGCATCCTGGCCGGTCGAATTCAGCATGCTCTTTCAACCAGAAATACCCAATATTTATGATGGCGCTAGAAAGGGATTTGGCATTTTGTATCCTCCTGTTTCCTTCCTGGATCTGATAAATATGGAGCTGTAACACTAAGTGCTGGAGAGTTACGGTGCGAGTGATGAAGTTGTACCCGCTGAGTGCCCAGCTCGCAGCAGAGTCGTGTTTCAGTCTGCAGTGCGTTTAGTTAGCGTTCGCTTTTCAAAGTGCTTGACTGCATGCTGGAAACTTTGTATTTTTGAAGCGGCAAACTTTGTTCTCTGGAATGCTCTGAAGTTGTGGCTGGGCCCTGGCCCCTCCCCTCTAGTGAGTGAATTATACAGTGTATATGTCTGTGAAGCTTTGGGGTAGAACCTTAATCAGAAAACAACTAGAACCTTTTGTCTGTCTTCACTTGAGTCCTCACTGCCTGCCACTGAGAAACAGTGCTTGAATCTACTGAGTTTGTGTACATTGTAGAGAATCTCCCTTCTCTGGGGCTCCGCCTCGATCGTATTTTAGCAGAATGACAGTCCTCAGAAACGGGAAGCTCAGTCGCTAGTAGATGGCAAGTGCCTTTCACAGTCCCATTCTCGGAACACCTGTGGGAAAGGCATTTGCCGATAGCTGTTCTCCTTTATGGACCTGACACCAGTCCAGGCCCATGGGAGTAGAGAATCTGTTATTGAAAGCACATGGAAGGTGTTACTTTAGAAACGTAGTCCGGAAGAACATTCAGGAATAGATTTATACACTCTTATTATTTGATTTTTAAATTTTCATTCAACTCTTCTGTTTGGCTCCTTCTGCTTGTGGTCCTGTGTAGTCCCACCGAGTTGTGAGTCCAGAGGCAGTGCAGGGTTCCAGCTGGGCAGTCGTGAACCAAAGGCAGTATCCTCCACACATGCTGGAGCAGCCAAGAAATGCTTTAGTCATATGGACACTGTCTAATTAGCCATTTAATGTCTTCATACCATTTAACGGCTCAGCTGTCCATTTACAACTTTTCAGGAAAGGGTTGGATGAAAAAGTAAAGCCCAGGTTTAGGCATGCACTAGATTTTAAACACAGAATGTTCTTGTGGCACCTTTTCTTCTTAATTGGTTGCTCTTTAAAACTTCAGAGGTCTGGTTTGCTAGCTTCACGAGTAGTTTTCATTTAAAATATAATTGCTGATATCAGAAGAGTATCATAATGGGAGATAATTTTTAAGTGCTTATTTTCATAGAAGCTTGAAAATTAGGATGAAAATGAGAAGAAAGTATGCAGCCTAAAATTTAATGCAGGCAAATATGTAATAAATTATTTTTGAATTGAGCATTAAAATTCTTCTTAAAATCACTCTTAACTGGGTCTGTTGAGATTAGAATCTATTCTTGTACTTCATGAACACAGTATGTGGGAAAGATTATTTTTCATGCTTCTTCTTCTTGCAAAATGTATTTCTACTATAAAATAAAATCCATTTGAGTTCTATTAGCCTTATTACTTACTTGGGGGAAGATTTTTTTCAGTTGCTTTAGGAATAGTTATAGAAGATGGGATGAAAAATGTAGGTTTTCCAGGATTGCCGGATTGGCAGTTCTATTCAGGCATCTATTATAATCTGTCAGTATTTATGGAAAACAGTCTGTCGCGAACAGTGGAATTACAGCAAATTGAACTTTGGCAACAAGAACACAGCAGACAGCTCCCTTCTCAATAATGGTCTCAACCCCAGTGTGTATTTTTGTCCATCAACATTTAAAATGCTCTTGGCAGATAAGGAAGGAATGCCACCACGTCCTTCCATCACCTCTCAGTAACTGGTTTATCTCTAACATGAATTAACTTATCCTTTGAAGTGGTGGTGTTCTTTTATGAATTGACAACGTGTACCGCACCAAATGCCACACCTTCTTATAAAGTGTGAATGAGGAAGGTGGTATTGGGTGGGTATCTTGTCAGACTGAGCATTTTCACTCTGGGGCCTAGTCAAAGGCATCATCTGCCCGGCTGCCCACCTGACTAGGTGATTCAGATCCCCCCTGGGGGACCGCCTTCCAGCAGGGAATTCTTTGAGGTATGCGGTAGTGCTTTGTGGACACGAGCTGCTAACCTGCGTCTTGCTGTGTCCTGTTTGCTAGGGTTGGGATCATTCATTTAACACATCCTGGCCATTATCACAGGCCCCTTGAGACTCAGTCACGGAGAAGGCCCTCCCCTCCCAGACAAACACGCTCCTCTGGAGAGAACTTCCACCAGGAAGGGTTTTGAAGATGCATAGTTAAAGAGGCGTGTGAAGAGATTGTGCCCTCATTTCCACTTGTCGTCTTGGTTATTCATTTATAATACAAGGTTGGCATTGATGTGGTACAACCTGCAAATTATTTTCAATTCTGAGTTTCAGATAAAACATTATAAAACATCAGAATCAGTACATACTGCTCCTTTGAAATTTGGGTAAAAAATTATACAACCGTATATATAGTCATTTTTGTATTTTTTCTATGTTGTGAAAACCAGAATTGTAATTTTATAAGTCTTTGATTCACTAAAATTATATAATTTAAATGTATTTTTTGTATATTTAGAAATAAGGAATTCAAAGACTATGCTTAACTTTCTATGCATGCCTTTGGAAGCTGTTTTTACCTGATAATGTTAATGTGGTAATAAGTTGTCTTCATAAAATACTGATCTGTGTTGCATTTCAAAATAAACTGGTGTGTGCTCTGCCTGGATTTGAAATGCTGGACAGCGAGTCTAGTGATTTCTCAGATTAAATTGGCCTGAGTGTGGTGGTGTAGGAATATGGAAGAGTTTCCATTTGGATTCCAGCTCTTTCTTTGACAATTTAAAGATCTATTTCTGCTATTCATGATGGTTCTGCACTTACAGGAAAAATAGCCAGGCTCTGTTAAGAGGTTCCCAAAAAGTCATTATTCCTGTCAGTCCGTCTTCAAGCCTACCGCGCCCCCTCCAACCTGGCTGCAGAGGGACAAGAGGCATTCCTCATGTGAATGACCAGGAAATCTGAGAGATTAATCCATAAGAGATTGAGGACGCTTGTCTCACAATGATTTCTTAATCTAACTTTGCTAATGTAAGGTGAGAGGGGAAACACAATGTTCATCTTACATTAAAACAAGACATGGTCAAGTGTCTCCTCCTGAAGACGCCTCCAAATACAGAACTGTCGCCGGAGCTGCTGTCCGCGCTCTGCGTCCACAGTGAGAAGTGGTGAAGAGACACTGGCAGGCTGCCTTCAGCTGGCCGCTTCTCAGCTCCTAGTTCTAGACCCACAGTTTCTTCACCTCGAAATGAAAGCCCTGTGTCTCCCTGTGCGGGGCACTTTCCAGTGGGTGGCCTCTGTATGGTGCCTCCAGCAGTAACAGGCCCCCTGCCCAAGTCGGCCCCGTCTTTCTTGGAGTTCATCGTCACTGTTGCCCCAGGTGTGGTCTTTGTTCTGAAGGGGGCCATTTTCTTTTTCAGTGCTGTCTGATCACAGCTTAGATATTACCAGCACAGTGATTAGAACCACCTCTCTCCTCATGTAGAGTCTAAGCTGTCTCAGAGAAAGGCTTTCCATTTGTGAAAAGAGAAATAAAATTATTTCAACTGAAACTGAGAAACAGATGGTAAAGTTAATAGAGGCTACCCAGAAAATATGACCTGTACAGTCTTAGGGTGGTAATGGGAAACCAGAGCTTTCTCATTTGTCACTCATATTTTCTGGCAATTATGTGTACTATGTTAACATAGCCCCTAGCCTGAGGAATTACCATGTGTATAATCAAGAGACCTATTGTTACACACAGCATTCCAGAAATACTGCTATGTTGTCCTGTTCCCTTGAACAAGAATGACTAGCTTTGCAATTCCTCATATTATTAAAAAAACAAAACACCCCAGCCTTACAAATAGACTAGTTCATTGTCATACAGTTCAGTGGTGAAGGACTCGCTCTAAGCAACTATTACCAAAAATAGCGATACCTATTAACATTCCCCTACTTGCAACTGAGGACCAGAGCTAGAAGAGAGAGCTGTGTGATTTTTTGACCAACATTTTCTTTTAAATATGTGAGAGACCATTTAATCTTTTTTGTTTTCAAATTTAGAAAGATACCCCTTAGTGTCATAGGTTCAGGTCTCATCACCAAAAATATTCTTTTTTCCCACAAAAGGTAATTCACCCTAAAAATCTCTCATTTGATGAGCAAAAATAAAATGCATGAGGGGCTGTGTATGTCAACCCCTCATACTCATTTCATGTCTTTCTATGTTTGGAAATTGTGTTCTCTGCTCACTAATTTCAGAGCATAGATTTATTACCACTGCAGCAGCGCTTTCGCATCTGTGACCTTCGCGAATGCAATCCAGATGCGTGTCCAGATGCTGCTGCACCTGGTTGAAGCCCAAACGCCATTTCCGCCTCTCTCTTGTCGTAGCCGGGCTGTCCCGCTAGGGGGCAGCACCTCCCAAGCGATCGGGGCCTGGGGCGTCAGGAGTTTGGAACACAGCTTCAGCCCAAGGACGCCGGAGGGGCACAAAGGCGCGCTAATGAAAATTAGTCACGGATCTCTATTGTCCATATAAAGTAAAGGCAGTCAGATCTGAAAGCATATTCTGGAGGGGTACAGGAAATAACACTCTTTTTAGAGCAAAGAAACCAGCTTGGATGCGTGTTCCGAGGCTCCATCCATTCTCTCCCTATTGCAGAGCCCTCCCCGGCGCCGACCCTGCAGCCTGCTTGGTTTTGAAATGCCGAGGGCTTTTGGAGTCGGTCATAAAGCAGGTGTTAAGGCTCCTGTTTAATGGAGAGCCTACTTGTTAATCTTTGAACTGTTCGGGGAGGTCAGTTCCCACTCTTCTTCTGTCTCTGGATATTTTTGGAGGGTGGCCTGGGCCATGAGAAAATGTCAGGCCACCTTATAAGGCCGCGTCTGGCCCCGAGAATGCTTTCTGCAGCCTGTCCAGTACACCCTGTGGGTGTGAGTGAACTTGACTCTTGGACTGTGGGTTTTCTCACAGATTTAGAATGCTTCTGCTCATGCCACGGATTATTCTCACTCTTTAACAGGCTTAAGGTCTTCTGGTGTCTTAAATGACACCAATTTTGGACATACCAACTAGATAACCGAGGGCATATGAAATCCTCAACAACCACCCTTGGGTGACTGTGCTGGGCCAATAGTAATAGTCTACTGCGAGTGGTTTGTTTATTTAACCAGCGTGTGTCACAGTGAAATCCACAGAATATTAGTTCTGAGTGATGATGGGGGTGTGGGGGAACGGGAGGTGGGATTCTGTAGATTAAAAAGTTGAAACAAAATTTGTTTTCTCTCCTGCTAAACTTTTCAGATCTTTTTGCATGTGAATGCAGTTTGTGAGTCTCCAAGAGAGGGGGTGCCAGTGCAAGATTTTCCAAAGCTATATTTGACCTTTATCCTTGAAATATCTTCAGGGCTAAGGCTCCTTGAACACCTTGAAAAATACTGATCTGTTGGTGGGAGCTTTCCCCATCGAGGAACGTGAACCCATCCGGGGGGGGGGGGGGAGGACAAGAGATGGGGGCTATCCTGAGATCTGGGGAGATTTCCTTCTGTTTTGGGTTTTGTTTTTCATAAACCACCGTGATCAAATAGGTTATATGATTATTAGAGGAAGAGCTTAGATTAAAGTGTCAGCAGCCCTGGATGGAGTCTACCATTTGCTGCTTTCTAGTGGATGAAAAGGTGTCTCCCAGGAGATGTGAGCGCGTCTGTCTGAGAACACCCGGCTGGGACCGGCAGCCCCCTAAGCTGGGGTCAGTCCAGCTGCCACTCCCCCTGTGCTACACCCCAGTTTCTGAACACAGACTAAGTGCCTACTGTCAGAGCCCCTCACTCAGGCTCATGTCCTCCTTGAGGCTCGTGGTGTTGGGGGACCGTCTTCCACACTTCACGCACATTCCCAAATGTCACCAGGTGGTGGCTGCTTTGTCCTGGTGTGCCCTGTCATCTGACAAGACCTTAGAGTTCCTTTTTTTCTGGGGCATGTCCTCCTCATGTCAGCTCACCACGTAGACCCTTGTGAACCAGAGAAGCCATCACTCCCACTGTGCAGAGGAAATTGAGGCCCCAAGAGGGCACAGGACTTCCCTGGGACCACACAGACTCAGAGCTGGGGCTGGCTCTCTGCCCCCTGCCAGGGCAGATCCGGGGCTGTGCCCTGCTTTCTTCTACCCTCACCCATCCCATGGCTTTGCTGAAGCTTCCAGCTCTCTTACTCTGTTCCCCGTCCCTCGATGTTCCCCAATCTCCCTTTCCCATGACCCCTCAACCTTCCCCATCTGCCCCCTCCTGCCAGACTCCACCATTCTTCTCAAAGCTGTCACAAGCCTCCTTGTCCCCTTGCCTTCCCATTGTACCCTCGTGGCAAAACCCCAAGCTGGGGTCAGTCCAGCTGCTACCCTTCCCTGAGTCTCTCACCCTTGGGCTGCCTGCCTGGCACACTGTCCATGATTCCCTTTAAACATCATCCTCCTTAAACCTCTGCCTCGCTCTCAGCCCAGGATAGCACCCCCAATTTCACAGAGAAAACAGCCATCACAGCAATTCCTTCAACTTCCTGTCACCAAATCTATAAACTTGCCTGCACTGGCTCCTCCTTTCCTTTTCCTTCTGTTAGAACAGCAGGGCTGACCCTCTAGCCAAAGCTAATTCCTCCCTTGTGCTCTGGATGTTTCAATCTTTCCCGCCATGAGGGACCTCAGTCTTGCCATCTGATCCTCTCTGTACTTCCTCTTTGCCAGCCTTTCCCCTCAAGTACCTCCCCATCATGGCCTTGATGTGTACTCCACTCCTTCCACCCTCTCTCCTCCTCTTCTCTGGAAGGGTGACCATGAGCACTTCTCTATTCTCACCTCCCACCCTCTTCCCATCTCACCAGTGTCTGGCCCTTCCTATCATGCCAATGACACTGCTCTGATCAAGGTCACTAGTGACCTCCTTGTTATGAAATCCAGTGCACACGTTTTAGTCTTTGTCTTATGGTTGAAACTGGGGCGCCATCCTGCTGGATGTTAGAAATAATGGTATGGTTTGGTAGGAGACTAGGGAGTCCAGAAATATCCACCCCTGGTCCAGAACTCTCCTTTCTCCTCCATGCACCCCTACTGAAGGTGTATGCAAAAGAAACAATGGCCAACCTGCCAACAAGAAGCGTAATGGTTAACTTACACTAATGGCTTCAGCCCCAGGGGAGGGCTCTGGAAGCTGGGCAAAATCACATAGAACACTCCTGTTTCCCAAACTAGTAAGAGGTAGTAGGTCAGAGTAAACAAAATTGTGAGGTCTGCTCAGCTCGCCTCCCACCCCACCTCACCACATTCTTCTCCATCCCAGCACTTAGGTCTCACCATGGCGATAGGGAGAAAGGCTCACCGAAACACCATCAGCTCCAGGGAGGAAATACTCAAAGACTGAATGAATACATGTGCCGCCATGTTGGCATCAGGCTGGCCTCGGCTGGGGGAGGCCTAGGCTGGGAAGGACAGGAAGGCATCTGAGGAGAGAAAGAGCAGACCCTGCTCTGCTTGCCATGAAGCTAGAAGGACCGGAAGAGAGACCCACAACCCTTCACGCCGACCTCTTAAGGCCTGTTGGCCCCACTCACTCTCACTAGCAGATGTAGCTCCACCAGAATCTTGAAACTGAGCGTTAAGGTCAGTATTCCTCCTCCCTGGGGAGGAGCCAAGACATCCTT